TACCCAGATGACCCAAAGTCTCTTTCAGACTGTGTTCCTGATCGCTGGAGTGATCTCCTTACTCTGCACCCAGGGGCTTCCCCAGAATTGCTTGAGGTAATTTCCTCAACATTCTTTTTCCCTTTGCCCAAAGATGTGTCCTTGAAAACAATCCTCCAGGGTCAGGGTTTCTGCTCTGACTGTAACAGATACAATGTAACAGATACAAAGTGGTGCTGTCGTTGGACAACACTGTGTTCTTATTCTCAGACTGCCGGGCCAGCAACCCAAGAGCTGTCTTCATCTTGACAACCCTCTGACAATGAAGAAAAATAACCTTCCCAGGAGGGACCTAGACCAGCATCCTTCCGCTCCCATGAGTTCCTTACACCTTACCGTAATCTCCACTGCCTTTTAAGTGAGGTCAATCCAGGAACTTTTCTCTAATGGACACAAATATGGCAAAATCACAGGCTGTCACGTCAGAATTCGGTGGCTTCCCTCAGGAGGGTCATAGTCTAGGCCATTCCTCCTCTCCCTTTTCTCGTCCTCCCTCACAAGCTGTCTCCCCTTCCGAGCTTTTGCTCCGAAGCAAGTGTCATGTTTTGAGGGTCCTCAGGAGAGGTATGGATGGCTAGTGAGCAATTGATGGCTTTGGCCACCACCTGAGGCCTGGCCTGGTCATTCAAGTTTCAGTGAAGTCGTGACTAACACCCTGCTTGCAATGAGGACATAGACTCTAAGCCAAGGCGAGCTAAGCGCACCCAGATTCCTGACACTTCGGAACTGTGAGATACCGAGTATTTGTTGTTTAAGCTGCTAAATAGGGGGACTACTTGTTATACAACAATAAATAAAACTCTTGAACAACGAAGAAAATGTTGGTCCAACAGATTCAGCCACTGAATCTGCTACATAAATAATTTCTGCCCACGAACCAAATATGAACACCAATACAGTATGGCCTCTCTTCTTCAATCTGGATATCTTTAACTTCCGTAACATTTGAAAGTACTTTAAAGATAAAATATATATAGTCCCTTTTGGATGTAGAACAAGCCAACACGCTAAACTAAGATGAACTCAAGTTGACGTCAGTCTGGCAGCTGGATATCTCAAACTTTCAGTGTTGTGATATCAAAACCGTCTGGTAAAAGAGAGGCCAGAAAGAAGTGTGTGCTCCAAGATGCTCTTCCTGGTCTTCCATGAACAATTTTTGCAGCCAGAGTTTCATTACCACCACAGGACTGTGGGCACCACGTGGCCATTTTCAAATCTGCCCTGACATCAGAATGCCATTCAACTAGATAAACCTGGGACTTAGCCAAAATAAGTAGTACTGGAAAAGATGGTGCTAATGACTGCCACCACTTTCTTTGGAGCTGTATATGACGAAGACGTGAAGAAATAAAGGCCTTTGTTATTTTAAAGGGCAGGGACAATTGGAGGTTTTGCAGCAGACAGTTTCAAAATTTTCCACCCCTGGATTTCCAAAGAAGATACCGGTAAGAGGCTTTGGGAGCTGGGTGTGGGAGGTGTTGCCTGGAAAGAAAACTAATCCTGGGGAGAATGTAAACCAACACTGCACACTTGCCAGAGAGTCCAAACACACTTGGCTCCCCACATTAGGAACTTAACTTTTCTGGTCCACTCCTTTATAACATGGCTCCTTAATGCCATGGCATTTTTGGTTTTGTTTTTTATCGCAACAATTGACATTAGGCAAGCCTAGAAAGTTACAGCATTGTCTCTCACAACTGTAGTCTCTCTCTCTCTCTCTCTCTCTCTCTCTCTCTCTCTCTCTCTTTATTGTGTGTGTGTGGGGAGGGGGGTTGTTACTTGAGTCAGGACCTCACTATGTAGCTCTCTGGTTGTCCTGGAATTCACTATGTAGCCTGGCCTTGAGCTCAAGGAGACCCAACTGCCTCTGCCTTCACGAGGGCTAGGGTTAAAGGCGCTCAAAACTACCTACACTGGCCCAAACAATAAATCCTTATTTTCATGGAGCAATTTTGAAGTGAGATTTTCTTTGTTTGGTTTCTGGTAATACGAAGGGTTGAATCTAGGGCCTCTCACACACTAGGCTTTTGCTCAATAACGAGCTCAAAGCCCCAAGCCCAGACTGAGTATTGCTTTTATTGTTTAAAATCATTTTTTAAAAAAGTCTCCCCACTCCAAGTCCTAAACTCTACTTTTGCTTCTCTACTCCTTCTGCATTTATCTGCCTGGGAGAGAGCCAAAGGAGGCACAACTGCGGTGTTCCTCCTCTGGGATGGCTGCATCTCATGTGCATTTCCTTACTCCATCCTGGCACATCCCACCCGCTCTTCCTCCATCACTATTTAGATTGCCCAACGTCAGAAGCCGCCCGTCTGGGACCAGAAGGATGAGCTGCTCATCAGCTGACTGGGTTAAGTTGTATTTGAGGCAGTGTTGTATCCTGCTGGTTTTCATTTTATTCGACGACAGTGCTTGGTATTTCTCTCAATAAGCAGAGATGAGCTATCATCAGTGTCCTGATGAATAAGCACGAAAATTGGATTCAAAGAGGAAGGACACCCTGCACCCCATGGGGAGAAGAAAGGAATCCAAGCCCCACCACCCACACTCGCAATAACAAAGCAAAACAGATCCCGTGCCTGTAATATCTCCAAAAAATATCAACACAACACAGTGGTAGGTGATAGGAAGGATGATTTAGAAAGCAGAAGATGAAGTCTTGAAGAAAGTACATTTTAAAAAAAAAGAAGAAAAATGTCTTTTCATCCTTATTGCTTTGAGGTAGATACTCCTAAAGAGGGAATAATCAGGTATGAAGGTTAAACCTGATGGAAGGAAAGAGTTGATTTCTATTGCAGGCCAGATTTTGGGGGGGGGTGTCAAGTGACACACTAACTTGTTCCAAGGAGCTCTGCTCTTTAGACGCACTAACCGGAGCACAAAAGAACTCCAAAGTGGAAGAAAATATCTCAGCAAACCTCTGAGATAAAGTAAATAAAAGAAAATTACAAGAAACCCAACTTGGCCAGAAAAAGGAATCCAGTTGTGTTAGATTTAAGAATCAGCGTTTTCCTATCCTGGAGGCAGTGACTTGTGCCAGCATTCAGCATTCAAACTGATCAAAAATCCCTCAAGCACCAGCAACCAACCGAGACAGGCAGAAGGACTCAGCCAGAAATAACGTTTTTCAAAGAGGACTGTCGAGACGACGGAGAGATTCAACAATTCAGCTTGTCATTTCCCTGCACGGGAATTCATAATATTCATGATATTCCTTGCTGGCTCCTCTGAGAGGGCAGAGGCCCCTTAGTAACTTCCGACCCGTCCGGGGCAGCCAGACAACGCGCACCAGCTCCCAGCGCCTGGAGCAGGGTTAAGATTTGACCGAGAACAAAAGAACGCTTGCCAATCAGAAAACGCTACCCCAGAAGGAAAATAACCCCTCTTTGTGTCTCGAAAGCCCTTTAATTAGCAAATGCCCTGGTTTCTAACGCGCATAAAAACTTTTCTATGTAGATTCCAAATGGAAAGATCAAATGGTTGTTTCTGCAACGAAGATAGGGTCCCCGAAGGCCACACACCGCAGTGCTAAGGGGAAACAGGGCAACCGAAGGCGCTCAGTAAATCGTACAGGGAGTTCCGGGCCACTCGGTCTCAGGTTACTTTCATAAAGCTTCCCCCAGCGCTGCCCGAGTGTTCTCCAAACCCCACTGGAACCTCTCGGGCTCCCAAGGCTCCCGGCCGTGAGCGCGCGGGTGTGTGTGTGGGGGGGGGGGCTGGCTCTTGAGCCCCGCGCACCCCCAACTCCAGGCCCTCTCCTCCAAGGGTCTGCACTTCCTGCCGCCGCCAAGTCCCCACCTCTGCCGACTCGGGTTTCTCCTTCCAGGCGGCCCCCCTCTTTGTGACTGGGGGAGGGAGAGGGGATTGTGGTTTCACGTGGTCGGCTGGGGTGTGGGGAGAAAAAAAAAAAGCGATCGTCAGTCGCACCCCTTTCTCGACCCACACTGATGCTAACCAAAAGCCTCCCGCCCAAGCCAGCCAAGGCTAACGTGACTCCAGATCACGTCTCTCCGCCCGAGCGCTGCGCTATTCTCAGCTTTTTGCCGAGGCCTTTGGCGAATGCGCCCTTCTGCTCAGGAATGTGTGTTTTAGGGTACCCGGAAGAGGAGCCAATCTTTCAAGCAAATTCCCTTTCTGGTGCGTTCTTCTCCCCTGAGCAAATTCTGGGTAAAAGTTTTTTCCCAACTTTTCTCTCCCGGTCCCCCGCCCCTCCCCTCAGGAATCCGCCCAGAGCACTGCAGGCACCGCCTTTCTCGTTCCCTCGGCCGCCCCTTCCGACTTCCACCCAATCGGAAGGCGGCTACAGAGAAAACAAAGCACGCTATTGGGCCTCCGGAGGGCTCGGGGCCCGCCCCCGGAGTGGTTTGTGAATGGGGGGAGGGGAGGAGGCGGGGCGGCCCGAAACCCTGCGAGCCCGACGCACCTTCTAGCCACCAGCGCAACTCCCAAGCGTTACTCTGCGCTCCTTCCCCGGCGGGCGGCGGCGGACGCGGGGACTCGCGGGCCGGGACTGCGCGGGGCAGGCCGCGGGTGCAGGAGCCTCGGCGCTTCGGAT